GTCTTTATTTTCAAATTTAGGTGGCAGTAATCTCCGCTTATACTCAGCTTAAGTGCATAACTAGGTGAAAGGCCATTTGTACCAAAGATTACTATGGTGGACACTGACAAAAATAAACACTGCGAGGGGGCAACAGTGAAGGCCTTGCTAACCGATAGTCACAGAAGGCAGATTTTGGTTAAATATTTAGCGGCACTAATTCAAACCCCGTACTAGATAAACTATTGTCAGGTTCATGGGGGGGTAAGGGCAAAGGAATCTAGGTTGTAAACTACTGTCATTAGCCTTGTCTGTGATTGCAGAGTATGTTTTGTCAGTGCCTTCTGTAAACAGATCACAGTTTACAACTTAACTTGTATCTCTCAAGCATCATTCATACAGGTCCTCAGGGTGAGTTTCTTTGCCGAGTGGATTTGTGAAAGATATGCCAAGTACCTTTGTCCTACTTTCGGTGTGTACATCTGTGTGTGATATGAATGCACAAAGTCTAACCTGCTGCCTACAATGAAGTGACCACTGCTGTTTGTCCAGACAGTCTCCATACTGTGTGCGTGTTTTTCCATCTCTGCAGACATCGTACAGTTTGTGTTTACACACATCTCCATTGTTGGCAGGTAGGTATCCGATGGTACAGTGGCACCGCCCGTCACTGGTCTGCAGAGGAGGCAGCAGGATTCAGACACTCAGACATTGGGTTGTGTAATGATGCACACGGTTCAAGTTGTGGTCAGTTTGTTACCTAACATGTTAATTTAGTCATTCATTCACTGACAAAGTCTATCAAGCCACATCTGTTTTTCTACCCTTTCTTCCTACCTTAAGTCCTTCCTTTCTTCCTTCCTGCTTTTCTTTCTTCATTGATTCTTTCTTCTATTTTTCCTTCCTTCCTTCATTCCTTCCTTCCCTCCCTTGCTGATTTCCTTTTCTTTCTTCCTTCCTTCAGCTGTTTTTCCTTCCTTACTTGATTCTTTCATTCTTTTTTCCTTCCGTCTTTTCCTCTTCATCTATTTTTACTTCCTTGCTTCATTCCTTCCTCCATTCCTTTCTTTCTTCAATGGTTCCTTCATCAAGTATTCCTTCCTTCCTTTCTTTCTTCCTACCATCCTTACATCACTGTTTCCTTCATCATTTTCCTTCCTTCCTTCCATCCTTACTTCATTGATTCCTTCATCTTTTTTCTTTCCTTCCTTCCTTCCTTCCTTCCTTCCTTCTCACACCAACACCCATGCAAGAGTCAGATAGATAAAATCTCATTCTTCTCATTATGAGCTGATGAGTGGATGAATCAACGGTCATGCAAGCTGCAGCAGACTAGGAAACAAGATCCTGCTGCGAGGGAACTTGATCTACAGCTCTTTCAGCTTGAAGCTACAGATTATTCAGTCTAAAGTTACTGACAGACATTGAGGAAGCTCTCATGACTGTATTAGTTTGTTCACTGTATCCCAGGACTTAAGAGTGACACAAAAAAAAAATCATTGGCTTGAAATATTACAGCTCATATTTGAGTTTAAAGAATGAAGGAGAAGCTCAAAGGACAGAGAAGGAAGTGGGTGACTGGTAGAGTAGGAGGTGGTGTTCATATGAAATCGAGAGCTACACACAGTCGCATAAACACACCAGAGGGAATGTACATGCTGAAGAAATGACTGGGTTAATTCTACTATCATGTGAAAACACTGTCACCTGAAAACTCTGCCCCTCCCCTGGGCAGATGCAGCTGTCTTGGCCAGAGAGAGGCTGCTGAGCCACAGGACCGCACGGCAAGGAGGCAGACAAACCTGGTCTAGGACAGTAGTGGTGAGGAGGACACTTTAGACAGCTGTCTATGGACACAGCACCAGCAGTCGGCCCATAGGTTCCCTTAGGACAGGGGACTGGAGTGAAGCTCCCCACTGGGCAGTAGAAACCTAACAGAAACAATAGTACGTTCTTACATAAGTATTAATTTATCTATGCACTCATTTCCAGTATAATCTTTCTGTGTATTTACACTATGCCAAGCACTGGGAGGCATCCTGGGGATGGTGACACATACCTTCTCCCGTTCTCCCTGTCTAGTCCTGTCATTGTGTCTCTAATGTCCCAAAGAGACAAACGGGCTCAAAGACGGTATTTACACTTTCTCAAACGCACAGTTTGTGAAAATTTGTCATCATCATTCACTCAAAACATATACAGTAAAAAGCCTGTAGCTGATGGACTAAACAACCTCACAAATTTTATTACCACCTCTTAAAACTTACACTATAATCAAAACAGGGAGATGTATACAGACATATGCAGACCAAGCAGATAATATAATGTACATCTTTTGGTATGGATTAAATATCAGTTACATATTTGTCTTGATATATATATTTTTTTAAATACAGTATTAATAACTACAGTATGCAGTCAGGACGGCCTACCTGGCTGGCAGGGCAGCCTCTCCTGGTTATGATGACTGAAGTTGTTTCCATGTGCTGGAGTTAGCAGCACAGAAGCAAACAGCCACCACAAACACCTGAAGCTCTTGCATTTACACGTCCTAGGCATTGTTAATTTGTCCTGTTCTGGGCAGGTGAACCAGAAACCCAGCTCTATTCCAGGCTCAGGGAGAAATTTGTAATTCTTCATCCAGGATCTGTAAATAGCCTCTTGGTTGTCTGTCTTGTTTTGGCCATAGCCAAGAAAGTAGTTATAGAGATGCTGTAGCTAACCAACTATCCTGATAAACTCCTCCTGACTGCTGTACTTCTGCACACATAACCTGATCTGCCTGTTGGTAGCTGCAAGGTAAGTGGAAGGCTAGTAAGTCTGCATAACTTTCAGTGACTTTCTGAATGATTAATGAGGCCCGTGAGGTAAGGTGACAGTGACAGGGACTGGGACTGGTTGTTGGAGGAAAGCAGCAGGGAAAACAGAGACAATCACATTACTGCATTTGTTCTTCTCAATCCTACCATGAAACTGATTAATGATTTGGCTCCCAATGTACATCAACACAGCTTTGCTTTATGTGAGTCCATATCACTATGTGCATCACAGCAGCTGCTCAGATATAGTACCTGGGTTTGTGCGAGCTATACCTGCAACTTTCAACTTCACTTGTAAATGACCCAATTAAACACATACTGAAGATTACTCATTTGTGTTTACTTGCTAATACTGGCTTGCAATGTGGTGGAGGACAAAATAAGACTAGGGTCAAGGGTCTGTGTGGTCCACAACTGGTTATGTGCATCAGTTTTATCTATAAGCTGCTATGGCCCACAAAGATGCTTTTTGTATGGACTTTTTTAAGTAACCTGCATCGGGCACAAATGTTGTATGTTACTTTATTTTGAAAAAAAAATAACACGTTCAATACATGCATTTCACTTTTCATAAACCTTTGATCTGCAGATGCTACAGTTCCTCTGATGCTCTGCACATCTGTGCACAATAACCAAGATAAGATTATTATAAGATACTCTGCGACGCCCTTTGCTCCACAATCAAATAAAACAGGAGACCTAGCTCCAGCTTACTATGATATAAAGTGTACTGGCCTGTCGTGTCACAAGAGTGATAGTAAAATTTTCTACAGCTATGTGTGTAACAAAGCTTTCGGTGAGCACACACGGTATGTTAATGTATGCAAACTGTTCAACAATCAACCCGTCAGTGCAGAAAGCAGTCAACCATGCTTTTTCGATGTACAGTAACCAATGCCTTACTGGCTCTATACTGTTATTGTATTGAAATTAATGCTGGACTTTGGATAACTGGAATAACCCACATATTTCATCACGGAAGCCATGGACTATGATCCCCCAGTGACGACTTGCAACTTATCTAACTGAACAGGATTAACTTTCACCTACATATCCATGTCACTGGGGGAAAAACCCTCCACATTACTTTTACAAATACAAAACAACATAATTAGATAATAAACAAGAGATCATCGGAAATATGAAGCCATTTATGGAATGAGCACCTCACATTGTAGCTACATAAGCATGCATTTGCAATAATGCACTTAAAGGTGTCCTGTAGATTGTTATTCCTTGTTTTGCAAAAGTGAAAAACACAGCTTGGCACAATCAGCAATGTTTACCCGGGCTGTTTTGAGCTACTCTGTCCAGACTAGCAGCACAAACACTGATGTGTAAACTGTTGATTGTCAGGCATCCAAAACAAGCCATGATAATCAAGGCTGCATGAGGTCCCAACCTGGATAAACTGAATTCTTACACAATTTAAAACATACAAAACATTTTTTTCTTTTTATATTCACTTCAAATTTTGCAGAATGCGTGAAAAGCCACAACAGGCACTGTAGATCAAACAAGGGACCCCACTGTAAATATTCATATAATTCAAGTTCCTGGCAAAATGGGGCTTTGATGTAAAAAGCCTGAAATGCAGCCAAACTTTTTAGCTGACTGTGGACATACAAAGTTGAACTTGTTGAACCTTTTTGGGTCGCTCCAATAAACTTCTACCTCATTTTCCCTTTTTTAGTGCAGAGTGCAAATACGTTGTTGGCTTGGCTGAAATCTTTCTATGTCATTATTAAAACAGTAATCTATGTTTACTGTATTACTCTAACTCTTATTCTATATACTCCTGTTCTATCGCACTAGTTATCATGGTACTTTCTCTCTTTGAGACTTAATCTCAAAATGTGGTGCATCCTTATTGACATAACCTTAAATCAATACTGCAAAAATGCTCTTAAGTTTTATGAATGTTCAACAGTGGCATGGCCTCACTCTTTGTGTGTGTTTGTGTGTGTGCGTGCGTGTGTGTCTGTCTGTCTGTCTGTCTGTGTGTGTGTGTGTGTGTGTGTGTGTGTGTGTGTGTGTGTGTGTGCACGTGTGTTTGTGTGTGTGTAGTTCCCTGTGTATATGCATGTTGTGCTCTGTCATCAGTGTGACCCTCCACGTGTTGACTGTTGACACAGGCAGAGTTTGAGCAGCCGCTCTGATAACAGGGACCTTTATAAGTCAGATGAGGGGAGTAGTCGCTCTGTAGATCCCTGATCGTCAGGTAAAGGCCAGGAACTCTTTCACATATTGATTTTCTTGTTCGCTGCGTTAGACTGAGAAGGGAATGTATGTAAAAGGAGTTTTATATAATTATATAAAGACATGTTCAGTACTTTACTACTATTTTTTTCATTCTAGTAGGAAATTCTTATGTATTTCTCTCACCTCTCCCTCCACAGAAAGATAAACATGCATCTAAAAGTCCTGCTCTTCGCCCTGTCCTTCTTGACAACTTCAGGTATATATTTGTCCTCAAATGTCATTTAATATCCTTTATTGTTGAAGGGATTTTTTTTCATTCACATCTGATTTCTTTGTCTGTAGCATACCCACTTCATCGTAACACCAGGGACGCAACCTGGACTGATTCAAAGGCCAACCAGGCTCATGACAAGATAAACCTCACAAAGGATGTGGAGTGAGTTGACCAAATGAAGGACCAGTTGAATACCTGAAATAAATTTGCATCCACACACACAAGTAAAGGTGAATGTTTGAATTGTCTTTATAAAGGGGTGCTTCTGTCTGTCTTTACAAGTAGGATCTACAAGAGTCACATAGACAGCAGTAGCCTTTACAACCAAGAAGATGATGACAACAATAACCCCGTGGTACGGGAGATGCAGCGCAAACTCAACATGGAGTCAGAGCGTCTGCGTATCCGTCTGCGCCAAGAGCTGGCCGAGCTGCAGGAGAAGTTATCCCCATCTCCAGCCCACCTCAGCTCCACCCTGGCCAGTATGAGGGAGCGCCTGGCTCCCCTCACCCAGCAGCTCCAGAGCTCTCTCAGCAGCGACACCCAAGATCTGTGTGGCCAGCTGAGACTCTATCTTCAGGGCCTGGAGACAGCAGAGGCCCAGACAGAGGCCAGTCCGACTCTCAACCAGGAAGCCTTCCACTGGATGACACAAACCCTGGAGCACAGCAGCTCTAAGATGGCTGACATCATCAGCGACTTCCAAACTAAAACTGTCGGGGAGATCGAACATCTGAGAGGGATCAGTGCTAGTGAGGAAGAGGCAGACAAGTCAGAGCTCTGGCAGGTAACGAGCTCCAGGTTGGGACAGGAAGTGAGTTCACTGAGGGTGGAGATACAGAACAGGGTGGAGGCTCTCAAAGCAGAGCTTGCTGCTCTGCTAGAAAATGCGCAGCCTACTAAGGCTGAAGTCACAGCTAGTATGGAGCGGTTCTGCCAAAATGCAGCCCTGCAGAGCCAAGTGTTTCAGGCCCGGATGGAAAAGGTGTTTCAGGAGCTGGAAGGGGAGCTGGAGATCCAGAGAGCCTCCAGCCTGTCTCCCTCTTCTTTCTCCTCACCCATACAGCCTGGTGCTGCTCTACAGGAGGACTTCTCAGTTAAACTCTCTGCTCTGATCCAGGACATTCTGCACTTAGTGCAGTGACAGAGACACCTGTACATTTTTTAAAAAGATGAATTCACTGCCATTACGGTCGCATCAAAGTGATTCTTGTTCATGAATTTGTTTTTGTTTTTTTGTTTTTTGTTTGCCACTGTAGCAGCCAAGTAAGTAGCCTGTATTTATGAATGTATGGATTTGTTTTGATTGGTGTGTTAGTTTCATTCTGTATGTGAATGAGTGTGTAATTGTCAGTATATGTTTACTGTACCATGTAAAAAAAATGCTGCCTGTGGAGAGTAAAGTTACTGATGATACAAATCACCTATTGCTATTTTTTGATTATGTGATCAGTCACAAAGTTCAACAACAACCTGATTTTAAACTTTATTTTCAATCTGTACAAAAAAAAAAATTCCATATTCATGTTTGCTCAAAAGTATGTTTTAAGCAATGCAATTGAGATTCTGTACAAGGCCCCCAAAGACACCTATAAAATTGTAGAAATGTTGAACAGGTAGACTCTCAGGCATTATCAAAGCAAAGTTATACTTAATAAAATATTATATAATATTATAAAATATTAAAATTGCTCTGTTCATAATTGCTTCTTTAGTTAATGTTTGTTTATCACACATTGTTCAAGCCTGGCTGTTCCTCCATTACCAGTAAATGGCTATTGAATGCAGCTGCAGTAAATATAGACAGAAAAGGTTATTTGCTTGGTTTCCATGGTCACCTGACAAGAACATTTGGTTATTACTGAAAAATCACAACATTATCTGATTTTATGAGGATATTATGAGGTTTCAGGTGACAAGGCAAAGACAGGTTGCCAGTGGATCTCTCAGTCAAAGGCATGAGGTAATCCTCCCATCCAATAAAATTTCTTCAGGACGAACCAGCCACCCAGAACCAGCAAGGCAGCAGCAGCCGAGCCAAACACCACCCCCACCACCAGGCCCGTCACATTCACATCATCCTTCCCTGATGGCATGTCATTACCTGATGCACACAGGGGGAGATTAATTGAGATTACTTTCGGGGTTGACCAGATCTTCCCATATTAGGATATATTTCTGGATTTATGATGTGATTAAAGTATACTCACTGTAGGCGGCTGCATAGGGCCTGTCTGTAGTGAGGGAAGAGAAGAGAGTCACTGAAAAAGTTTATCTGGTGATGTTGTTTGGTAATCACAGGAAGACTTTTAAAAGTACAAATTTTGCAAACAGGTCAAACCTTGTCGAGCAGTGTAAAGAGGACCGACTGAAACAGTGGCTGATTCTCTGCTTTCTTCTCCAAAGGGAGTCAGAGATCTTTTTCTTCTGGTATTACAGCCCTGAAAAACAACAAATATCCAGTCAGGTTCAGTCTGAGTTATGTCACATAATGTAACGCTATGGCTTTTCAATATACATTATAAGCTTATGAAATAACCTGTAATTTATTTGTTTTATTTTGTGATAAAACTAAATATCAGAACGTGCCGTGGTGTCTTGAGGGTTTAAGGTGCTAACTATGAAGCGCAACATCTGTGCATTGAATCTGTCCGAAAGACCTTTCTTGCAGTCAATGACCATCTCTCCCCCTAGATTTCCTGTCATTCCCCCACTACCACTTATCTAAAATGCGCATGAAATGCCCACAAAATTTCTGTTACTCCACCAGTGTGTTTTATTGCCTGCTCAACACTGAGAGCAGATTTTTTTTTCTTTATCTATATTGATTCCTCAGATGCAGAAAACAGGTAAGTTATAGTATGGTGGTATATTGTATCATTCGAAGCTTGGGGGAACCTTTGAAAGTTGCTTTACCAAACTGTGTTTTCATTACGTTCTCTGATGCCTTTAAAGCAAAGTAATTTGTTTTTGACTTTTCAACTTACAGACAACAGCTCTTGACATTTGCTGGGCTCACAGAGTCTCAGTATGCAGTGCAGGTAGATGCTGGACTTTGGCTGGTCACGGTGCTGAACAAAGCGGAAGGCCTCAAAGTTGAACCGGGCAACCTTGGAGAGGCCATTGCTTATCACAGACGTCCTTTGTTCCACTGAACACCTAGTGGACATCAAGGTATTTTTAGTACATATTTTTAAAATATGTGTGAAAGTCCTATTTTTTTCCCACATGTATGAAGCCATACTAATGGTGTGTGCTTCCATACCCGGTGAAGAAGTTGTGCTGCTCACTGTGCGACATGTTGTAAGGAGTGGGAGTACTAAAGCAGTGATCCAGCAGTACATGGAAACTGAAAATAGGACAATGGGCCAATAAGTTACTGTTTGCCAAAAGAATACACTGTGCTCACTTTTACCTCAATATTTGTTTTCTGATACACAAATTTACTATGAGCAGCCAAATGGCCTTTACTTACTTTCCTGTGAGGTTAACAGCCTTAACCTCCACATAGATCCTGGTTCGTAGCTCAAGTCCTGTTGAAGGTACCACTAATGGATAGCCATAATCAGAATCCTGGAGAAATGAGCCGTGGAGTAAAAATAAATCAAGAGGAATCGCTCTGAAGTGTATTTAAAATCTGAATGCCAGATTGTACTTACATTAAAAACAGCCATTTTTAATGTATCAATAAAGGTTCCATTATTATCGCTGGTCGCCACTGAGACTGAGGAGCTAAAAAATCATGGAAAAGATGCAAAAAAGAGAAAAAGAAACGTTCAGATTTGCTGTATGTTCATGTCAGCGTCATGTGATGCCTCTGTTAAATCCCAAAGAGATCAATTAACAGTTTGCCTGAAAAATCACACAAAGTAAGAATTCCTAGTACTCACGCCACAATCTGTGTGTTGTTGATCAGGTACTCCAGCGGGTAGCGGCAGGAGAAGTGATAGTAGAGGTCTGTGGAGTAGCTGATCACCCCCTGGTCAGATCTGGGTGTGTCAATGTACCCTGTGATGATAACTGACTGGATACTCAGGAAGCTGCTGAAGGGACCCGTGGGATCCGGGGTCTCATCCACAATCTGAACAAGACAGTAAAAGATACAATCATTACACAGGCTTTTTACATGGTGTCAAATAATTCTATATAAAGAATTGTCCATCTAACATTCATTTATGTGTCATTTTTCTACCTAATCCTCAGCATCTTCTACAAGAAACCTTCTGACCTGCAGGGAATGGCGACAGGGGTTATCCAGACTGTGGTTAACAGGAAGCTGGTAACGGATGATGGGAGGGTCCACACTGGTGTCGACAGAGCCCCGGCACTCCGAATTGTTGTGTTTCCCATTCAGAGCCAGGTCTGTGGTGTTGAAACCTGCCCACTGAGCCGTGCACAGGTTGATCTCCAGAGTGATCATACTGGTGCCACAGTCAACTGTCAGGTCTGAGTTGTCTACAAAAGAGAGAGACAGAAAAAACAAGGAGATTTAAAAGATATGTTTTATTATTGTGATTTTTTTCCCCCACTGAAAACATAAGGAAAGTTAATATAATTATCCAGTTGCTGTGATGAGATAAGAAAAATCCATAACGTTGAGCAGGGGAAAAAGTCACCACAAATGACATCTGCTCTGATCTGTGTGGAATGCTTATATAAAACAAAATGATCTGTCCCAGTAAAAATTAAAGTTATGCCCACCTGGGGTCCTCTCATACTCAGAGGAGCAGTTGTAGAGACAGACTGCAGGCTGCAGGAGCACAACCAACAGAGGGAGACAAAGGTAAAGAGTCATGCTGTCTGGAGGCGGCTCTGTCAGACTGACCAGTCCTGTAATTGTGAAGAGAAACAATAACAGAATCAAAAATAAATAACTCTAAAATAGCATTTACAGCTGAGTCAGAGTAGATACACAAAAGTGCTTGCAACTATTCCAAAAAAAACAAACATAATTTTTTATGTAAGTGTAATTTTCAGTGCCAAATTGTTCTGCAAATCTTGGTTGGTAATGGTTGTTATTTTCACTAATTCATAATCCCTAAAATGCAATTTAAAATCAGTGAATGTCAAACAGAGACCTATGTGACAACCTGAGGAGGGTCTTACCTTGCAGGTACCTGAGCAGGTGTTTGTCACAGACCTTGTCATGCAATGGGATTTTTATAGAGTTAGACAGACACCTAATACCACAGAGGTGGGACTCTCAAGCCCTCCCCTCAGCTAATTATAGATACCTATGTGCACACACACATACACACACACACACAATTACAAAATTACACACACCTTCTCCATGTTTCTCCCATGACTTCTTGATTAGACAGCAGCAGCAGCCCCCGGCAGGGTTCACTGTCAGATCTATACCTGGCAGATTAATATGTCAGTGGGTTTTTGACACAGATCCGGATCAGGTTAACTGCTGTCTCACATTTCCCACCATTAAAAACGATTATTAAAGAATGGAGGTGAAAGTTAAAGTTGCTGGCTGGTTATGCTGAAGCAAATGAGTTTGAGTTTCAAACTTTGATTCAATGTACATATTTATTGCTAAATAAACAGGTTACATACCAGGGAAAGAACTGTATTTTGTACCCATCAGTTGGCCATGAAGTCATTTCATATATTCTCACTAGATTCAGGGAACTTTACTAAAACCCTGCAGGTCATTGATTAGCACAATTTAAATGCTTTTGGTAAAACAATCACTTAAAAGAGAAATGATTAAATTCAATATAAATGCATTTTATCCTAATTCTGAATTTACTGTATTAAATACCCCCTGGGATACTCTATTAACTTCTAAATCAATTAAGAATTTGTATTCAGAACCAAATCTCAAAAGGGAGACATACATTTTCCAAGATGTAAAAATTATTGTGTAGAGATGCATTGCCTTGAATAGTGGAGTCATGACTTGAATGAAACACCTTGAAGACTTGAAAGGTGATCATGATCGCCATAAGCTATGAAGAACTCAACCAACCAGGAGTAAGCTTTGTTAATTTCCCTTGCATGCCAAACCTCTCATCTATTGTTTCTTTAGAACTGCATTGGAGGTGAGTATAGCTATAGGCCACAACTGTTACCGTTCAACTGAGAAGCCCCCATTGTTCCTCAGAAATACAGGATGAAAAGGAGCATCAGTGCTTTTGCCAAAATGCCCGTGGTGAAAGGAGACATTTGTTACACTATCCATAGATGCGTCACTCTTTTACAACCTCTTCATTTCTCTTCTGCATCCAGGGATTTTACCTCCCAGGACACCTGTTTGGAAACATCTTGTTTGCCATTCTTTTGCACTCTAATCACATTCTCCATTTCATTTTCCTGTAATCCCTTTCGGCTGCAGGGTCAGAGAAAATTGCAGATTATGTAAGGGTGTCTGGACATGATGTCCACCTGTCCATAGGTTGAGGAGTCATAACAAACCACAAATAATCCCTAAATCAAGTAATCATGTAAACACATAATGTAAAATTTGGACCCTAGAATTGTCACTCCCCCATGCAAACCATGTATCTCCAATCTGAGGGATTTTGATATATAAACTGAAGGATCAAGAGTTTTTTTATGGGTTGGAAAAATATTCCTCAGAGAAGCTAAATAATTTATTTAAAAATAAAATAAAATGCATTGTCACAAAGTAATTTTTTTTAGATCCATGGTTGTCATAGGATAGCAGCAGTATGTGAATTCTAACATAGAAATATAATAGCACATGATGGGTACATGATTACATCATTAATAGAATAGCACAGATCAGGATAAAGAAATGAGTCACAGAGTCACCATTTTTAATAGGGAGGCTACAGTCTAAAGTTAGAATGACCAGACTGCCAGGATTATAATGACAATGTGTTGTGGCAATGATTAGAGCACATCTTTACTGATTCCTTTCATCATGCATGACAATGGTTAGTGACATACAATCGCTTTAGAAAACAATGAAAACAAGGCCCTGGGGAGAACACAGATTTAGTATTGGAAGAAAGAGGATACACTGGGAAGCTTGTGAGGAGATGTTACTGTACTCTGCAGGCATGTGCAGCAAAGCAGATCATTAGTGTAGCTAATGACCCCTCAGGGTGTGAATATCACATAAACTGAGTAATAAATATGTTTCCTGCAACACTCCAAAGTTGCAGAGGAGATTTTTGTCTGTTCTGCCTACGAGAAAGAGTTTACAATGTTTACTTGTGTAGCAAAATTAGCCAAATACATTTCCTCTTATGACATAATGCTGTTATGTTTGAAATTATAAACCATATGAAATGTTTGTGGGTGAGGTTAACTTCCTAAGTGTCATTCAGTGGTGGGAAAAACATTCAGATCCTTCATTAAAAGAATCAAACAGCCTAAGTTTCACTTAGATACAACTTAGGCTTAAAGTAAATAGCCAAAGTTTTACTTAGCCTAAGTATGAATTTAAAATATTTGAAGTATACTAAAAGTTACTGTACATCATTGAACGATGTCCCCAATGACTATATATTATTGCATATGGCAACACTGGATTGCTAATACTGATGCATGGAAGTGTAAGTAGCATTTTATCATTTTACCTGCTGTAGCTGCTTCGTATTTATAGTTGCATGTTTTAGTCCAGTGGTCCCAACCTAGGGGTCGGGCCCCTCCAAACAGACACTAGATAAATCTTAAGGTGTTGTGAGATGATAAATGGGAAAGAAGAAAAAGCAAAATTCTGCTACTCATTTTACACTACTCAAAGTAGCATAAAGTGGAAGTACTCATGTGCCATTACCTCAGACTTGTACATAAGTACAGTAACTGTTGAGTGTCATCACTGGGCAATAACTGATTCATTTCAAAAGCGAGTCACTGCTCTGCCTTATTTCATGAGTGGTTTGGTGTCATCTGCTGGCCAAAATTAGACAGAGCACAAACGCCTTGTTTTTCTCTGGGTCTAATGGACTTATGAGTCACTAGTGCTGAAGAGTTCAAGCCAAGAGACACAACTTCCTCCCCAATGAACACACAGTGGTCCAGTGAGAGCCATTGTTTATTTTGTTCTCAGAAAAACTCCAATCGTTATCCATTCCAATAAACAAAAGATGTACTAAATAATCTGGAGTAAACTAAGACACAACAACACCTGTAGTAAACAGAAAACCGTGTTTCTCCCTGAACCACGAGCCACTCTCTGACCCAAGGCTGGATTACCAACTGGGCAAAATGAGCAACTGCTCCAGGGCCCTGAAAGCTCTGGGTTTACTGAATATTAACTGAAATTTTGCACTTAACTTAACAAGACAATGGCCTAAAGGTGGATCCTGCTCTTGAGGTGCTGGATGAGGGTCAGTGTTAGAAGCTTTATTTTTCAGTTTTGTGCTGACATATCACATATTTCTAAATTAGTTTGTGTTTAATTAAACAACCAAATAGAAAATCTAGGTCCAGGTAGTATTCTGGCAAATAACAGCTACACATATTGCACAAAGAGTAAAAGAAACAGAGGGCAATGGGAGCCCAGTAATTCATTTTTGCTGGGCCACCTAGCAGGTTAATCTAAATGTGCGTCTGCCCTAATCCTGATGGAGACATGTTTATCTACAAAAGGATTACAAAAAAGTCTGCTCATACATCAATTCATACAGTTTTTCCAATGCTTATACAACATGACAGGATGAATTATCACACAATAGCTCCTATATATACAGCCCAGCATTAAAGTCCTGCTGTGAAATTATCCGTGGCACATTTCTATTTAGCATAAATAATCTTTGAGCCTTTTGCACTACAATAAACATATTGGTGACGTGGGAAAAGCTCAGTAGGGACAGTGTTTGTAACACACAGTCACAGCTTTTCATCACATGATGGAAATTTGCGTGCGCCGGCCAGTAATCAAATGAATTTTAGACGCTTTGAAAAACCAAAACAAGGAAAAATCCATCCAGGTCACACATGACAAGCATCCAGAGGCTCAGTCTGACAACAAGCCTCCTACATGACAAACACACTTGTGTGTCTGCTTGGAGACAGACAGAAGGATGGCCTGAAGCCAGGTGGTAGACAACAGAGCTACACACAGAAACACAGCCTGTGATTGTGTGTCCTCTCTCAGCTCTCCAGAGAGGAGCTGCTGTTCATTACTCTGCTCGCAAGGGCATCTGTTGACGGCTTTTATTAAAATCATACAACACAAGATGAGGATAAACTGCAGGCTGTGGTGAGCTTGAAGCTGACCTCTTCTCTGTCTTTTTTATGTCTTGTAACAACCTCTCCAGATTTAAATCTTCCATCATCTCTCCATCAGATATTCAGCCCATCATCATTTTTTGTTGAATTGTTTTTTGCTCTTACAAATCTTCAGTTTTTACTACATAATATTTTTTTTCCTTTCGGAATCTCTCATCTGTATTTTCTAAATTTTTAAGTTTCAAAATACAAATGTTGAAGTTTATTTTACTGTTAATTGTTCAGTGCTGTGTTGAGAGCGTGTGTTGTTATATGGTTTAAACTGGGAGGTGTGTGTAGTTTAATGGCGTTAGGTTGTGGCATAATGTGTGAACTTTGGGGTTAATTCTGAGAAATGTGTGTAAGCAGAAAAGAAAAGCTGAAACAACAATAATAATAATCGATCTGGGATGGGTGTTCAGTTGGGTTGATATCTGGAAACAACATTTCTCAGGCCGATAAAACCATTCAGCGACTGTTTGTGTACTCTGTATGTAACAGAATAAAGGTAACTTTGCATTAATTTGAAGTGACCTGTCCCCCTAATGCAGTGACAGACATACACATTGACTTTCATAGTTTACATCAAAACCTTTACATACTTTTTTTTTCTTTTTACAAATCTAGCTTTATTTAAATCCCATTATATATGAGCTGTCTGCCTTATTCTGTGCCATTTGCTATTTGAGCTGAAGTGAAGTCCAATAAACCTACCACATGAATAACACAGAAATATTACAATGAACCTCATTTAAATGAAACAGGTAGGAGTTGAACTTAAACGCAGTTGTACTTCCACAGCTTCAGCCTGTTTAACCAGAACAAATTCGGGTCACGAATGCAAACAGCAGTGGAGTGCTGAGGACATTCTTTTCCAAGGCAACAACAGCAACAGCAACAGCAACAACAACAACAACAACAACAACAACAACAACAACAACAACAACAACAACAACAACAACAACAAACAGTACCATCATTCAACCACAGCTGAAGCAGGCCGCTCTCCCAGTATTCTGCGGGGGAAAGTTTCATTCTGATGCTTTGGTTGGATCAGGCAGTGTAAAATGATTTAGTGTTGTTGCGTAACCTATATGACTGCTCCAGACTTTCACAACCATTCATATTCTGGAAACCAACCCAAAGCAATGAACAGGAAGTATGGTTCAGAGAAAGAAAAAAAAGAAAAATCCTTTCCCCTTCCTCCCCTCCATGCTTTCCTGCTCCATGGGCAATCTCTCTCACACAATCCCTTCCTCTTTATCTCTTACTCTGCACCTATCTCACTTTTTGTCCTTTCTGTGTTTCTCTTTGCACAGTGTTTTCACAGCGTGGTCTGAGCCAGTTTCCTTTCAAATACCTACACTTGTTTTACTGGAGATTTGGATGTTTTTGTTTAGTTTTTTTTTTTAGTTGTGATCAGTATAAGCTCAGCTATATCACATCAAAGGGAGCTCAGCATGTTTACTAGACGAAGAAAAAGGAAAAACTGACTTGTACGCTTAATGGGGAACACTGAAGTTCTTGCAGTTAACCTTGCTTCTGCTTTCTCACTTAATTTTCTCCTCTGAGCTATTTTTCCCCAAGCTGCACTCAGTCAAAGTGAGTGTGTGAGTGTGTGTAGTGGAGTAAGAGTGAGAGATGCTCATTCTTTATTTTATTACAGGGAGCATGATGCATGGTGTTTTTCACAAAGAACTCTATTGATTCCATTTTAATGACATTACTATATGTGAAATGGGATTAAGGGGGGGGGGGGCACAGGCTGCACATTGACTGCACAAATGCACAGATTCATACCTCTGTGGTTTGGGTTTGCATGTAGAGGGACAAGAAGCACTCGAAAGTATCAATACTGTCTCTTTTTCAAAGCAAGAATCTTGGGACTATCTCACTCTTCATGTTTTTTTTTTTTCCTCAGTAGACGCCATATGCACGCCTTCACTAGACGACCCACTTCTGACTGGACAGACTCTGCCGCCTCTATCTGTAACCCAGTGTGTGTTTATCTCCGGTTTTTAAATCTTCCAACAAAGAGGTTCACACTTTTGATTGTTATAGTAATCGTCCCGCAGACTCGGGTGAACATGTAGAGATGGATTTTATGAAGCTGTTTGGCACCGTTATCGCCGTTCTGTTCCACCCTGGATCCGCTTCTAAATTAAATGGTAAGGACTCACTTCGGAAGAACGAAAAACTCCCTTCTTACTCTCTGTTGACGCATGTTGTGTATTTCATTTCCACGGTAGGACTTCGACTTGTTTGTTTTTACCAAGAGTTTTTTGTTTTTTTTTCTTTAAGTTTGCATGTAGCGTAGACTGTCCATTCGCTGTGCTGCGAATTGTTATTTTCTTGTTTCTCTTTGAGGTCTAAGAGGTTTACAAGGTTGTGAGCAGGCTCGTCTCGAAGAAGAGCGTTATAATGATAAACAGACTGCAGTCAAACTCAGCACGGCAGCACGTGATGTGGTGGAAAGTGAACAACAACAGGAGGAGTGTTTGTGATCAGGTCACCGATCTCAACACTGATTTGAAGTCAGGAGGCCACATACTTGTTTTAATGACAACCTGAAAGAATACTACTAATATTAGACTAGTATGAAAGCAACTGTACAGAAAATACTAACAACCGCATGCATGATCACTATCAACCACACAATTATGTAACAGAGGTCCATATCTCTAGAGTAGCTCCATTTTACAATTATCTAGGAAAATTGGTAATGAAATAAGAAATATTTCACAGTTGTTCTTTATATTAGTGGTGTTTAACCCAGGGGTTTCTCACACTGGGACACTTAAACGGGCCCCTGAAATGAATCTTGATAAGGGCTCCTCCAGCTGTGTAATTATTTAAAAAACAAAACTGTGCAAAATCTCCTTTCTCGCATCACAGTCTCATACGTTTTCTATTTCTAGATATGGATCAGATATAAACATGACTTTATATTAAGGGGTCGCAAAAAACAAAAAAGCTTTGGGACCACTGATGCAATCTGTTGTCTTTCTATACATTATATACATATATATATATATATATATATATATATATATATATTCTATATGTGATATGCCATCAGTGCCTTTCAAGACTGATTTACTGTAAAAAGCCATAATTAAGATAGTCAGTCAATAATTAACTTACTCATTGTGCCACCTCAGCAAAGCACTGCATTTCAGTCATGTTCAGACTCACAGACTCTGTCTGTCACAATGCACCACAGCAGCAAGACTATTTTGACTGGCACTAGATCAATGTAGGAAATAAAAATCTTATTTAAGCCCCTAAAAAAACTGTGTTTACGCCACAATTTCACTACTATATGGTTTACTCTACCCACGTTGCAGGAAAATGTGGGAAACCTTTGGCAAAGCAATGCAACCCAAAAATTCTGGTTCCTAATTTGTCCATGATACTGTAAGTTGTTTATAATCTTCTTGCCACATGGGCGCCACAGGAACCCTCAGAAACCAAAAACCCTGCACTCATCATCTTGTTATCTCCCTGATGCTGACTGTGGTGTCCAGGCCAAAGGATCTGCCGGCGTGGGACAGAGCGGCCATGCTACAAGGTGTCCTACATCCAGGACAGCAGGCGAAGGCTGACCTTTGAGGATGCCAGGCAGGCCTGTAGGTTGGATGGAGGCGAGCTGCTCAGCATTGAAACAGAAAGTGAGCAGCGACTGATTGAGAGGTTCATACAACAGCTGCAGGCTGGAGATGGAGACTTCTGGATCGGGCTTCGCCGTAACCCACAGCACAACAGGGCAGGGACCAAAAGCCAAGGTTGCCCCTCGCAGTACTATTGGCTGGATGGAAGCAAGGCCAAGTTCAGGTCTAAATCTTTTTCTTTTGTTTTTTTACATTTTACTCTTTACATATGAATGTTTTGGCTATATCAGTGAAAATGGTATGAAGGACACAGCACAGTAAAAAAAAAAAAAAAAAGGAAATGTCAGTGGAAAAACCCCGTAGTCAGTTGTGACTTAGAAAAGATTATTGGATGAAATGCTGCTTGTGTGGGAGTGTTGGAATGTGTACGGTCCTTTTGCAAGACTTGGGAAATGAGAAATACAAATATAAAGTCAAACAGTTCATATGATAATGTAAATTGTCCAATTTGTGATATGAAATGTGAAAAAAGTCTAAACTTGTGCATCTTATTTGCTGCAGGAACTGGCACTGGGATGAGCCATCGTGTGGTGATGAAATGTGTGTGGTTCTGTACCACCAGCCGTCTGCGCCACCTGACGAAGAAGGTCATTTCCTGTTCCAGTGGAATGACAACAACTGCAACTCCAAGAACAACTTTGTCTGCAAATACCCAGAAGGTGAGCCAGTGGATCACAGACACTGGGCTGTTGTGCCTGGCTGTACAGTACTGGGAATTATTTGGCTCTTGGTTTCATTTGGTTCTTGAATCCACAAAATCTGAGTCTGACCACTATTAAATTGTGGTGATGACTGTTAACAGCTGACACTAAACAAGTAATGTGCCGTTTTAATGCTGGTTGCCTGGATTACTGTAAAACTCTGCTCTCTGGCAATCCAAAAAGATATATCTGCCTGTGTTTAAGTTATACCTGATACCTTAAATAAACAATTTAGAATGAACCTATTATATTTTATTTCAGGGGGGCTCATTTTGTTCAACTGATTAATTTTACAGCATTTTCCATTAGTTCATCCTGTTGTGTATCTTTTATTTTCTTTTTATTTCGAATGTTAAATGGTTTTTAAGCATTCCTTTAAGTATTTAATCTTTTTTATTAATTGAGTGAAACATAAAATTTTTTTTTTTTAAATCTTGCTGAATGATTTAAACTTCCTTCCTCTGTCTTTCACAGAAAAAGTGCCAGTATTTACTGATGAAGGGAACACTGCACATGCAGGTACAACATGCACTTCATTACCCCACACATGCTGTTCATGTATGCATGAAGTTTCTGTGAGATATAGATAACAAGCGACAGCAGCTGTGTTTATACTTAGATCAAGCAAAGTCAGGCTAAACCACCATACGACTACTTTTTTTTTTTAAATCACCTTCAGTGGTCAACTAAGTCACTTTCCTTTTGTGTAAATGAAGTTCTAGTGGGAAAAAAATATATATTTTGTATAATCAGGTCACATGTAGTAGCCCACAGAACATGTATGATGTATTTACACTTAATTAAGTATCGATGTTATTCAAGAAAAAAATAGTTAAAATCTTCAGTTTTACAAAGGTGAATCAGAAATAGGCCACTGTAGGTAAGAGATCCCATCATCTAACGACAAGAACGTTTAAACTTGGCAATTTAAACAATTAGGCATAATGCATGGAATTTATTATACACAATACTTTAAACATTTGAAATCATACTCTCATGTGTTTTGTTTTTTGTTTCTTTAGTTAGAAATCAGTTCATATCTGCAATGGTTAGATGAGGAATGTCATTTGACATATTTTATCTTGTCATATTCAACTGTTTTCTGATTGCTCCAGTTCCATCTCTGAGGCCAAACCTATTCTCAACAACAGAAAGTGATGAGAGGATTAAAATAGTACTACCTGAATCATCAGGTAAGAAAATAATTAAAAAAAAACCTCATATTTTAATTTTGATACTTAGGGTTAATGCCCTATATGGTTTCAGGGAAACTACTAAAATCAGTGTTTCAAGTGATAAGAGAACCATGATGTACCTTAAACATTCAATAGGATAAAATAAAGATAAATACTAAAACAAGGATAAAGGTCATGTAAAAAAGAAATTACGCCAAGTAATTTGCTTTCCTTTTCAGTATCTCTCTCAGACAACACCCTGTATGTGTCCTACATCCTTTATGCAACTATTCCTGCTCTCCTGCTGCTGCTGTTTGCGGCTGCTGGCTTCTTCTGCTACAAACATCATGTTAAAAGGTAAAAGCCAAAAGGTGTTACATGTTATGTGCTCACCTGTTGTACTTCAAATATAAAACATAGTCTTTCTACATGCAAATGAATGAAATGGCATACTAAGAAGCATTTTAGAAAAAAATAATGTCCTGTTTGCAGATGAAGTAAATATTTCTTTGTATAATGCACTTGTTAATTTATCAATATGGCAAATTGATGCAATTCTCCAATTATTTTTCTAGTGTTGGCCAATGTGAACACACATTCCTAAGGATGTACTGTATATAACAGTATGTCTCTTAAACCATGTTGTAATGATCCCACCTTGCTCTTTAATGTTGTTTCTTTCACATTCAGGAGGAAGACAGAAGCAGAAAGCTATCCCTGCAGATCAAAACCATGGCTGTCAACAACAGCTTCACCTTGCTCCGTACAAGGACCTTATGCCTTTAGTGACATTACCAAACTGCCTCACACTGCTCTGGAGAGCAGCATGCCAGTAGATATCATGGCAAAGTACTCCAGCACGTCCTCTCAGGACTCCCATGGTGACTATGAGAATGTGTCATGCACGGACAGGGAGAGTGGTTTTGTGACCAATGACATCTATGAGACCTGCAGAGCTCAAAGCCGGCACTGCAGCAGTCAGACTGGTTGGGTGGAAAACGAGATCTATGGATAACACTGTTGATGCCTATCTGGTCTCTGCAAGTGTCCATCAACCTCATAGCAGCAAAAGAATATGACCCAGCTGGACAGAGGAACACAATGTTCTCAATCCCTCTCTTCTTTTGCACCCTATTGGTTACTTGTGTGGTGCAGGATTACTAAACAGGTGGCCTGGTTATTTGAACATAGATCTGTCTCCTGTGTGTATCTCCAGAGCTGCCCCATGAGCACCCAGCATTCAAAGCTGCTATTCAGATTAATGCTTAATGCAGGGTTTCCCAAAGTCAACTGAGACTCTAGGTTTAGGCCTCCAACTTCCCAGAATACCACCATCAGAGATTTCTCAAATTACCATACAAATTGCGAATCTGATCATGGCTTTGGATTGAAGAGTAATACATTGGTTATGTGAAAATAGTAATATATTTCAAATCTTTTTAATAGATTTTCTTATTAAAGAAGACAAGTCTACAGTTGTGCTAGCAGCTTTGTGAGGCTGTATCTAGGCACAGAGGCGCTTTGAGCTAAATGTGTCAACATGCTCATGAAGGCCAAAGACAACCTGCTGATATTTAACTGGCATAATGTTTGTCAGTTTCACCACTTAACACTTAGTTAAGTGTGTCTGCATGTTAACATTTGCTAATTAGCACTAAAAAACTAAGTCCAGCTGGGGCTAATGGAAATTCCATTAGTTTTGTAGGTATTGGCTTAACCAAAACATTAAATAGAAATTAGGTTAGTGGTAATTATCCTGAGGCGGACCTGAATATGTGTACCAAATTTTGTGGCAGATCATCCAATAGTTTTTGAGACACTGATGGTGGTGCTTTGTCACGGAAATACATTGTCTAGACACTATGAGATATCTCACAGGATAAGTGAAAATTTTGACCTGTTGGAGGCAATCGAGGAAAAGTGAGAGGAATACCAACATCATTAGGATTCATCCTCTTGGGACCTTTGATATCTGTACAAGTTTTCATGGCAATCAATCTAGTAGTTGTTGAGATATTTTATTCTGGACCAAACTGGTGGACAGACTGAAAATTCTAATATATTTCAAGTTTATTTAATATATTTTATTATTAAAAATTCATCAAACAAAACTCATTCAGTCAGAAATCTTCTGTTGGCTGTGTAAAGAAAATACATTTTTTTTATTCCAGTTGAATTGAATAGTTCTTTCTTATTCCCAGTTTTAATCATCATTTCTGACAATTTATTTAACAGCAGTTTAAAGGCAAAGAGGCATTATATGAACTCAAATAAGCAGTAATGAGCCAGGTCAGTTCGGCTGTGTAACAGTGCTGCTATATTTGGCATGGTGGATTACACATCTAACCCTGGGAATAAGCAAGGTTTGTGGAATCATGCAAGGTTACTCATCTTGTAAACAATCCAAAATTAAACTACTCAACGATTTTTCCAATAATGTCACCAGATATTATGAGACACAAGGACAAAAAGACTCTGTTGGGTCTCCACTGCTGTGGAGTTGGCCTGTTCAGGGACTATTCTGACCTTTTCTCTAAACCTGAAGAGCGGTGTCAGCCCTTTGCAAGGCTTCCTGTTTGGACTCTGATGTCAGGGAACAGGACAGTACATGCGGAAACACTGATGACAGAACTCTGCTGACCCCAGTAAACCTCAAAGCTGTGCGCTTTCCCGACTCCATTTGACTGTGTGAGAAACTCAACCCTCCCACTGATCTGACAATACAGACACTATGTAGGAGTGACCAGTTTTAGAAATGTCATGGATTTATTCATCAGTGTTTGCTTGTAAGAGCATATGCCTGTCTTATAAATGTGTAAAAATATCATGGTTATTTCAGAGTATGTACTGAGTGGGCTGTTGGGTCTGTGTCTTGGAAAGATGTAGCAAGCCCAGTAAGGAGAGGCTGAGTGTGTTCTTGGAGAATGTTAGACAGGAAATGCCAAAAGCACATCTGGAACTCTTACATTCAGGAAGTCTATGCGTGACAGCAGAGGCCTTTGGAGCGCTGCTCTGCCTGCCTGCTTAGCAATCCACTGTTCTCTGTTAGGCTGTCACTGTGGGGGCTTAAGAGAACAACCACTGGGTGTGAATGTTTGCTGTATGTCAAACATGACATGATTTGTGGGTGTCAAATAAAGTTTGGTTACAAGATATTGTGGTTACATTCTTTATTTAATGATAATGTGAGTCTATTTGTATTTTTGTAAGTGTTTGGTGGACTGAGTTTAGATGTGTTTGAATGTGAAATGCCAGTTACTAAAGGTATTTACACCACTGTACTGAGAAGCAAATGGTAGACATAAAATGCCAAGGCTGAAGAGTAGGCAGAGATAACTGGTTAGCAGTGGGGTTAAGGTTAGGTTCCGGTTAAGGTAAGGGGTAAACGCATATCATCAGGGGAAACAGACTTCCCCAGAATCTACTCCTGAGCCTTGGAATCCAACCCCAACCTAAAGGAAATGTGTAGCCTTGCTTCAATTTTCAAGTTCTGCCAACAGATGGTGCTGTTATGTAGCTAGACAAAGTGTCTTTGTGGCTGGTAAAATGTCTGGTTTCACATGAGGTCCTGCATGTTACATTATATAAGGGTATATGTTATAACATATTACTTAAGGATATGTAATGGCAGATGCATTTCTGGATTATATCATCAAAAGAAGATATGATGAGGAATGTATCATTTTTCTCTTTTTTATGTAAAATCCAAGCATGTTGTTTTGTTTAAATGTATTTTTTCCATTCATACTTGCAGTATTACTCCAAGCGGGTAAGAGTTGCAGTTTCAGGCAGATTTAGAAAGAATTTAACCCTTTCCTTCTTCACAAAAGCTTATTAAACACCTGCAGGGCAAGACTTCAAAGTTACCTATGCGTGCAATCAAGGAGGGCAGACAAGCAAACAGATTTCAGAATAGCAATTTTACCGGTTGACGTAAGAGGTGGGTCTGGTTGTCTTGGCAACCAATTGGCAGTGAAGTGTGGAGCGGCTCCGTGGCCCCGCCCCCTGTACAAATACCCCTATGGCTTTGACGTCAATACACGTCAACCAGAGAACATGATGCCTCTTTGCAAGTCAACTCGTGTGCTCTGTAGCTGATAGAGGCACCTCAAGCTGAAATATTATAGCTGTATTGTATTGGAGAACGTGGTGTGACAGCCCCCGGGCTCAGCAAATGGCCTGCTTCGTATCGCCGCACTGACGGAGAGTGTCGCCACACTGGCGTTCAAGCTGACAGGGCGACACAAAAATCAACTTTGTCTATTTTTAATGGACACGCTTCGAGCGGCGGCGGCGGCAGCAGCGGCAGCGGCAGCGGCGGCGGGCGGTTTGTTTTCCTTTCGTCTTTATCTGTAGCTGCTCAAGCAGGCAAAGCAAGCAAGCCCGTGTGAGCCCCCCGTGTGTCCCTTGCTCGTCTGGCTAACCTCCTACTCGTCCACAAACAGTCAAATTTAGAACAGCATGGTCATGGCTGACAGTGTCCAGAAACCGCTGATCCGGGGTCCGGTCCGAGTGGGCTTCTACGACATCGAGCGCACTTTAGGAAAGGGCAATTTCGCGGTCGTGAAGCTGGCTCGACACCGCATTACCAAGACCGAGGTGAGTGTGTCTGTGAACTAGTTAGCCTCAAAGCTAACTTAGGCTACTGTTCAGCTGAGTTACATAACTTTTATGCACCAGTTGACACCCCTGATATTCACAGCAGATACCGAAATGCTGTCCACATCACGCACTAATAGAAACTTGGATCAGGTAACTGCCGGCCGCTTGGCTGCTCCAGTGCAAGCAACAGCTGGTGTGTTTGAACACCATTGAACACATTGCTCCTGTGCAGGTACAGGAGCAATATCACTGACTGACTGACTGCACGTTCACCCCCCTCAGCCAACATCACTGCCAGTAAGAGGTCTGACCACCAGGGCTGCTGGGAAACACAAACTGTAAACATGCATGCTTTATTTCCTTCGCCAGACCAGCATCATACACCTGCACTCCTTTTGGTAATGACCCAGACAGTAAGACAGTGTACCAACTCAAGAGTCTTGCTGGTGTAAACTTCCCTGTTGCTGTATCTGGGGCATGCAGCATGGGTCGGTGGTCCCATTATGTAATCCAAATAATGATGTGATTTAGTGGTTTCTTGTGCCAGCAGAGCCAAGAGCTTTCTGAGGAGCAGGATATGCCAGCTAGAGTTCTGTAATTGGAAAGCAAAGTGTTCTGCACGCATGCATGCAGACAGCAATCCACTGGCACTGCTCTGGGGTCTTCACGTAGTTTGGAGAGGGTCTGATATTACAAACACTGCACACTCTCAGGCGATGCAGCATGAGCACAGAGAGAACAGGGCTTGTATTTGTCTTGAATTTACTCATAGTTTTAATGTCAGCTCTGTGCACAGAGGCCTTTCTTGAGCAGTACCACTGAGTGCCATGACTTTCTATTGTAATGACAGAGTGCGCTGGCTGTGTATGAAGAAGCTGTGTTTTGTGAGACAGAGGGGGGATGATAGAAAAATAGGCCAGGAGACTTGTGAAAACACAGTTGCACGCTTTGATCTTTGATCTTCAGAGCCTCCAACTGTTTGTCGTTGAACGTGAGCAATCATACTGTAGAGAAAAACAAAAATGTACGTCATCCAGGCAAGACCCCTGGTAGGTTTAATGAATAACAAGACAAGAAAATGGCTCTTAAGACTCTTATCATGTTAATCTAGTTATTAAAGCCTGTGATGTGGCGTAGCATTAGTCTAGCCAGGTAATCTGGAACCATGTAACACTAACAGCTACATGAATGCAGGTTTTCATTCCAGGCAAATACTACACCAGGTGATTTCACCGAGTGGCTGTACCTCTCCCTCAGCCGGTGTGGTATTGGGGTTGAGTGAAAACATGCATGTTGGTCGTGGTTCTGAGGCCACTGGTTTGGTAGAGGTCACTCAGCCCTGGTCGGTACAGAGAGCCACTGCAGCTGCTTGGCTCAGCCAGGCCCGTGGCCAGAGCCAGGCAGTTTGTTAGAGTAGCCAAGGTCAGCTGGAGAGGCGGGCTATCAACTTTATGTGATGCCATCTGCCTTGTGAATATGCCAGCGCAAAAGAGATGTTAGCCTGGTGTGTGTGTGTGAAGATAACCAGAGTTTAATGATGCATTTAACAGCAGATCTGGTGTGTCTGTACCTGTGTGTGCATAACCTAGTTTTTCTACTCTTGGCTCCCGCGTGTTATACTGACCCATTCATCTCATTATGTACATATTGCAGCTTGTGGGTTCACATAGTGCAGGCCCATTCCCATGTGGTCCCATACATTTATCCATCCTCACCATCACCATCGTCCCACTTTTTTTTATTACTTTGTGTATAGGCTAAAATTCTCCTTTAACTCATTGTCCTCAAATGACCTTGTGCAGACAGAGTTCATAAGGAGTCTTATGCTGTTTGTGTGTGGGTGTGTGTATTGCTGACAATGTAATCAGTTAGCTCAGATCTTTTTATGCTAAGTACCTTGTAATCCCTCTCTACTAGACCAGTCATTTTAAATGTGATGCCTTAGAGGCCTGGACTTGTAGCTGGAGTGCCATTAAAAGATTTGGATTTCTTTATAGGATTTAATGCCACATTGCATACCTGCTTGCTCTGTGGTACTGTGTAGGGAGATAATAATGGGAAGTGTTAAACATATCAAAACACCCATTACTGCACATCTTTAAGTGCTAACTACAAATAGACTAAAGAGGACCAAAGTGGGTGTCATTATGGAGGATGGAGTATCAGACTTCACTCTAAGGTTAAAACCAAACATAAGCCTGCGTTCAGAATGCACCCTCCTTATTTATTTCAATGATGCCACTGCATTGACACAGTAGGACTGCTTATGCAAAAAAATGCAGGGTCATCTAGTGGAAAGCGTTGCACCTGGCTCAACCTTTGTTGTAACACGGAGTGACGTTATCTGGCAATGCACCGCAATAGCCAGTCAAATGCATGCAATTGCACATTTCTGGTAAAATACATTACAGAACATTCTGCTGTTTATCTGATGATTGTCAAGATAGAGGATGAAATGATGGTCAATGTGATAAGTTTCCAGATGAAAATTCTTTGTCAGAGACAGTATTATAGGCTGCTGTGCTTTGTTTTGACAATAATAATCTGATATTCTGATAATCTTTCAAAATCATGGGTCTGCTACTCAAACCTGCTTCCCTGGATTCAGTTTTTTCATCTCACCTAGGAGTACAGTTTACAATTACTCTAATGGTTGGTTACTGCAGTTTCTGAATTATTGCTTTATCATTTGGTGAAATATACCATCACAATTTCTAAAAAGTCCAAGTAGACATTCAGATTTCTTGTTTTGTCCAAAACAAACAAATATTCACATTTATGAAGCTGAAACCAGACTTCTTTTTTTTTTTTTGCCATTTTGGCTTAAAATGATAATCAAAATAGATACTGATTCACTTTCTGTAGATCAACTAATTGATTCAGCTCCAGTCTCACTGGTTCCTGAAACAACAAACTAATGAATGCAACCCCTTGTGTCTTGTTTTTTAACATAGCCCTGTTTTTCAGTCTTAGTTTTCTAGCTTCATCTAACAGTGGTGTGTCTCCTGTTGTTTACTCCTTTAGCTTGGCTTACAGATGCTTGGAGCACTTCAGATCACGCTGATGAAATGTTGTTTATAAGACCATGTGAAGGAGAGATGTTAATATTGCCTTGTTACCTACCAGACATCATTACTCAAAGCCAAGAGTGTTGAAGTTGTGAGTGTGTGATTTACACATGTATGTGTCATTGTGGGCACGTGTATATCCAGTGAGCCATGTGTTTGCTTCTGCTGTATCTTCATTTGATATTTCATCATGACTCATATTTTAGAACTGTTTATGAAAGTTTCAGTACAAGCTGTATTTAAGTATTTATCTTGTGTTTCAGACACAGTTATCCGGTCTCACAGCTGAAAAGAACACACTGTATTCTTTTGCTGCCTGGAGAATATTAAATTGCTGTGTGTGCTAGTGTTTGTGTGAGTGTTGGGAGGTGTTTCTTATTGCCCATCAAGTCTGATGAGCCCTAACAGTGATTCCACTGTATGCTATTGAGAAACCAACCGATTACAGCTGTATTGTTGATGCTCCATCATTCTGCAGGTTGCAATTAAGATCATCGACAAGACCCAACTTGATGCTGTCAACCTGGAGAAGATCTACAGAGAAGTTCAGATCATGAAGATGCTCGACCACCCCCACATCATCAAACTCTACCAGGTGAGTCTTCAGCTTCAGTGCCTGCAATATACACTAGATCAACACCTTTTCTCTGCCTAGCATGCAAAATTAATATCCTTTAGGTGAGGTGCTCCTTTCCCCTCTCTGCTCTCACTGATTTAGCCTATATGATTTTATCTGGGCTGTTGTGTATTTTTTTCTGTAATTGAAATCAAGAGAATTTCTGCAGATGAACTCCTATCTTGGGTGCTTACATCTAACTTTTTCTTTGACCCATCTCGTCATATACTCATCACTATACTTTACATATTTACCCCAGTTACTCCAGTTAGCATCAGGGTGTTTTTAACAAAAAAAAAAAAATTCCACCTGGACTCTAGTAAAACTAGTAAAATGAAGTAAAATGTGTAATATCTCTTACACTAGCCTGAATTCACACAGACTTATTTGTGCCTCACCTGTTAATGGTTTGTTGTCCAATGTAAACTTTTCTTTTCATTGTAAGATCCTGAGGCCAGTTTCGCAAAGATCTGTTGGATGGGTCTGTAGTGTGAGGCTAGTCTAATCCAGGTTAGACAGTTTGACAAAAATAAGGAATGACTTATTTGAAGCCTAGAAAGTTAACCACCAGAACTAAGAGCAATGTTTCCAGTGGCAAGAAATGACAAATAAGAGGAAAAGTAATAAGAAGGGAAAGAGCATTTAGAGAGTGCAGTAATCTGTTGGGAATATTCAATAGTGAGAACATTATCAGTCCTTTCCACTTGCCCAAAGAAGCTACCCTGAGCTTGTCTTTAATGATTATGTTGGCTGTGGGATTAACACTATTGTTGATACATTTTTTTCTCAGATCAATTTTTTAAATGTATTGTATCACTTGTCCTTGTTACTTCTTCATTTTTCCAGAAGGCAAACATCTTCTGCTGTAGTGACCTGAGCTGAGTGGTTTGACACGGTCAACCATGTGTTTTAGTTTGAAAAAAGTTTCAGTTCACCCCAATCACTGAAAAGTGGTCTAATTTAAGATAGTCAAGAACTAGACAGGTTTGCGCTACAGATTAGTTTATATCTGTGTCTAATGTCTTAGCCGTACCTCTGGCTAATCTGTGAACAAATCAGTTTTGTGGAGCAGAATCTGCTGCTGCTCATTGTTGATCTTCTCTCCAGGTACTTTAGCAGTCGGGGTGTTGAAGCGCAGGACCAATCCAGGTCATTTTCTAATGCATTAGCAAACAACTGCTGCCTAGCAGAACCTGCCACCACTGGATAGTTTAAGATATGAGAGCGTAGTTAATGACTGACTGACACTCTTTGCTGTGTGCGACTCTGTATGTGTTCTACACTTTGTGAAGGTGCCACTGGTCTGATTCAAACTAAATGATCTTAGTAGTTGAGGATTATATAAATGAAATGTTTTAGTAATGACATCAGATCTGACCTGTACTGCAGTGACAGGGTCTATTTAGGCTGTGTTTTAAAATCAGATATATATGCATTTCACATCCATACTTTTTTATTGAAAGTCAGATTACTTGATTTAATGTCCCATTTAGGCCAGAACAGATTTGTTGCTTGTTAAAAAGCATTATTAATTATTGTCAGTGCTCCCTGTATTAATTGGACCTCGAAAAAGTGTTTATTTGAACATGGGAACTTGCAGTGTCAGTATTTATTTGCACAATGATTTAGCTAAAATGAGGTAAAGCTAAAGTGATCTACAGTTACCTAGCAGATATCTGCTATAAATCAAAAAATAATTAAGAACCACAAGCAGTGCTACAGCACAAGGAGTGCTCTTTGGTATTTCTTTGCCCAGCGTGCATGGTAATGGTGGAAGAGGAGCTGCAATAAGATGGGAGTTGTTGTTGATGTTGATATTTTGGTAAAAAGTCTCTCTTTGATACATGTTGAGAATTGATGTCTGAGGACTAGATCAGTTTCAGTACAGCATCACTAAGTTGATAATTGGGGGATAAGTAAGTGCTAAGTAATGTGTGCCTCTACGCACATTAAACTTGTAGCTTGTAACTCAGTGTTCTCCTGGTTTATACATGTATAGACACACAATTCATTTGATAGTGAGCTCTGGTCTTGTCCCCGCTCCCAGAGACCTTTTTCACGGAGGAGATTTTGACATGTCACTGTAGGAAAAGCACAGATGTAAAATTAACAAAGGCTGAATTCCATTTAGCTGCTTCAGTTTCAGGGTCCTGGTATTATTCATGCTGGTTCACAGTCACACTGTCATTGGTTTACTGGGACACCTCGCTAATGTTATTAGTAATGTAATGTCTGCTGTGATAAAGGCCTAATTCCACTTGTCTTTGTCTTGTTCTTCAATTCCAAAACACATCATACACCATGTTGTAACTGTAAACTTAACTATTAACTGCAAAGTTGTGTATCGTTGTTAATTCTTAAAATACATTAGTAATTGTAATAGGGTTTTATGCAGCAGAAATTTGCTTAAATTTTTTTCTTGGAAAAGGAAGCAAATAATCTTTACAATTGTTTCATTAAAATGATGCCCAGTGTCACTATCAGTAGTGTCATGTGCGCTAAAAGCATTTTTATGGAAGTACATTTTACAAATGTAATTTCCCTCATACCAGTTTGACACCTTTTTGTAGTAATCGTACGGTCCAGTTGTGCAAGGAAAGTTCACATAAATGTTACAGGACTCAAAGTTCATTTTCTATAATGATTTGTTCTTGTTGTTGCACTTTATTGGTATGTTAGGCAAAAGGAAACTTGTTTCACCTAGTTACCGTGATGTTCGCTGTCTTGTACAAAATAGCCTAACCAATGATAACTCAACAATTTTGGTAATGCAGTTGTATTACATAAGCCTTTGGGTCCTGTTACTTTGTTTAGGGAAAGTAAATGAATGTTCATTATCATTACACAACCATGTGGCAATGTTCCAGCTTTCTGCTGTGTTATTTTGGTGTCTATCATTATTTCCAACGGCCCATGCATCTAATCAGCTCAGGTCAATTAGTGATTTCCTTTCCAGTCTCATAGACTGGGATTGGCCCTGTGGCCCAGAGGGAAGCCCTAGTCAGTGAAGACACACAGAGACACAGACAACCCAACTGTGGACCCCACTCTAGTTTGCCTCCTCTCTGTTGACCCTAGTCTTGACTTCTTTTCCCATTTCACATTTCGCCATCATTCAATTCTCTTGTATTTACAGCTTCCCACTTTGTCCTTTAGTCTAGACTGGCAAGAATCTCTCTACAAGTACAAAGGTTTTTAGCATTCAAAATTATCACTGGATATTATTTCCAGAATTACAAAACCACTTTGTCTTTCAGTAATTTCGGAGTGATGCTAATACAAAATTAATACGTCATTTGGATATCAATCATGTTTCAGGGAATCATTATTGCGTTAATATCCTCTACACTACGATTAATGCCCATATTGTTAAAACCATTAAAATAATTCCATTTAAAAGTATAAATGATTTTCTTAATTAAAACATTAAACAGGATAGCCATGTACACAGCGTATGGCTTGATATTGAGATGGAATCTGTCTAAAACACATGTTTAGTTGGTCCTCAAACTTACTTACCATGTCAAAACCAATCAATGTTCTCTTTATGTTTTCTGTTTGATTGGTTTAACACTGACCACTCTGTATGGACAAGCAGTGATGTTATATAATATAATTATATATTACTGTTTGTTTTACTGTATTAATGCTACTGCTATTATTATTTTCATAATATTTCATTGCAATATATTGTTCATATTGTTGAACAATATTATAAATTTGTTCTGTTGTTAATACCTTTAAATGAACTTGTTCCCTGTTGATACTGCCTTGTGCCATGTGCTTTGACAATGCTGTATTTGACTGGCCATGTCAATAAAGCCTCTTTGAACTTGAATATATAACATGTTAGATATCACCTTTCAGGAAAGGCAGTGTCGGACACTGTGAAGTGCTAAACACTGAGTGCTGTTTGCACTTCTTGGTATCTGGAATTCAAACTATGAATTCTCTGCTTGTATTAGAATTTATGGCATGACAGATATTTGGCTTCAGTTAATCTCCCATAGCTGTTACTTACATCAGGGAGTCATCTTCCTCTGGAGGCAGAAATACTGCATACTTATGATACTGTATACTGTGTACTTACTGTATTATCTTCACTGGATCAAAGTATTATAGTAATAATTTTCAGTCTTGAAAGTCTTTTCCTGCTAAGCAGCTGCAGGCAGGTAATGGATATGTATAATACATATGCATGAATGGATATGTTACAGTCACTTTACCTACTGTAGAAGGGCTGTAACACAAATATTAAGATTCTGTTAAACTTAATTAATTTCATACAAAACCACAATTCACTCCCTACTTTTTGCCCATTGCCTCTCCAGAATGGTACACATCATAAAAAGGATGAACAAACAGCTTAAGACAGCTAATATATTCATGACAGTCAACATGTGAAGCCAGTCAACATGGATGTGTTAGGTTCCATCACAGCAAGAACGTAGAATGAGAGAAAGATATCTGCTGTAAATTGAAAATAGACCTCTCGCAGTGGATATTTTATCTTTTCAAGCACAGGTTTAACTAATACCATTAATAATGGCTTGCATTCTACTCAGGTGTGCCAGTGCCAGGACCCTGCTATTGTACATGCTGGTTTACTGGCACACCTTAATGAAACAGAGCCATCGTTAATACTATTAGTTACACCTGTGCTTTTCCTGCTGCGACAAGTCAAAATGTCCGCTGTGAGAAAGGTTTATTTCCCAAATTGGATGCTGAAGGCGGGTTTAATTCATCAATCGGTTGTATTCCAACTCAGAGAGGACGAAATGTGTTTGTTACACAACCAAGGCCAACCAAAGGGAAAAAAAAAACTGGCTTTCGTTTCCGAAATCCATGAATCGGTCAGTGCAACAGATGGAAAATTGATCATAAACAATGAGCGTGGGATTTCTAGTGTGAATGTCTGGCTCGCTGTGTCTGATTCATCCTCCCCTCTCCATCTGATTCTCCCCTCCGCATTTAATTCTATTCATCTCCTGAGTGTTTCTGCTTCTAAATCGGTTCTCCTCCTCCTACACAACACGGCACCGTGTGAGGACTGAAAGGTTTTAAGTACCATTCAGATATACTCGGCAACACCAACTGTCCACCTCCATTCTCTTACATGGTTACCATATTTAGACCCTGTGCCATTCATGCATTTTGTTTTGCTCATGACTTTGCGAATGCCAGATGCTGCAGTTTAACCACAGAGTGAGCCTTGTGGACAATTGTGCAATATTTTGGTCATTTGTGTCTGTTGTTATAGGTCTCTTTTACAAATTGTCTCTTGTTGCAGGAGACTTACTTTTAATTTGGATTATCTGATGATGTTGCAAATGAAAAGTGGTCCTCTGTGTGCATTCACGTTGACTCTTCCACTCTTTTCTCTCCTCCCTCGGTCCCTGCTCCTTCGTCTTCTCCCTCTCTCAGGTGATGGAGACGAAGAACATGCTTTACTTAGTCACGGAGTATGCCAAGAATGGAGAGATCTTCGGTGAGTGATATTTTCAAGTACAAGATCAGTCTGACCTCAGTATCTTACACACATTGTCCCACCCAGTTTATTTACATCCTCCTTGTATTAGTTGCACAAAAGATCAGCTCTGTTGCATCAGTGATGTTTTTGGACAAACAAGAAAGTATCAAGTTTGCTGTACTCTTGGCCATATCCTGGCCCCAATCTCAAAGGTCACATGATTGATGGAAATCTTAGAACAATGTCCTGATATGGCCCTTGTCATGTGCTGCTAGTAATTGTGCTGCTAAATGTGCTGACATTGTTTTCTTGTTGTATAAAATGACATCGCTGACAGCCTTTGACGCTGCAGAGAGGCTACCTCAAAGATAAAAAGATTGGTTTATTACTATATGTGCTGCAAAATCACTTGCTGCCCACTGGTTTACTGCTTAGATGTTCAGATAATGCAAGATATCAAGATTACTTTCTACCTGCTGACGAACAATGACGTCATTCCTCCATTTTCATTGACAGTTACATGTCACTTAGATTCAATTCTGTGTACTGTAACTTACACTTTTGCTCTGCTTGCACTATAGACAAGGCATTGTAACAGAGGCCGTTCCCCAAATCAAGTTTAAAAAAAAATATGATAAACATGAATTAAAAAAACAAAATGCACACAAAGGCAAATGGATGCTTTCCCAATCAAATTATCAAAAGAGAGAAAAGGATGAATTAAATTAACATAAAGATTAATTTAAACACCATTATTGTTGATCAACAAATCGATCTAATCTTTTTGGTTATATTAGAATTGTCTCTTTAATAGAGAAAACACCATGAAACAAACTAAAGCTGCATGAAAATTGTACACATTATTATTGATTTCATCAAAAATGCAACAATCACATAAAATAGTTCTGAAATTCACAGTATGAACCATGAACACTCCAAAGGCAGTAGTTTTAATAGGAGACCAGCTGGATTAAGTGCTAAGCTATCACATAAACAAATCTATGATTTGTCATGGGAGCCTGAAGGTCTTACATAATGACTTTTAAGTGACTAAAAAAAGACCAGATGTTTAAGTTGTGATTCATTTTGCATCAAGTGCAACACGCCTTGCTTTACTCATTTTTGACCCTTTTGGACATTTGGGACAGATAAAAAATAAGAAAAAAGAAATATAAATTTTCCTTTGGTATAGACAATCATTTCCAGTCAGTCATTTATCAGGATTCTTGGAGACTAAAGTGCCCAATAAGGAACTAGGCTCAAATTTGCCATATAAACATAAACACGATTCAAGTTTCCAAGTTGACAGTCTGAACATACAAGGAACAATAACAATTTTTTTTTAATTTTTAAAAAAATTTTTTTTTACAGTATGTCAGTAGAAATGTTTTACACACTGTAACAGTCTAAAGTGCAAATAGAGAGACTTGTGCTGGAAGGGACAGACAAGTCAGAACATAGCAAGAATAGTTCATAAAGATAACAAATTATCTTGGTCTGCCATAGAACCACATGCGCTCTATCGCTACGACACATGCACAACACACACACTCAGTTTGTACAATGTGTACACACTACAATCTCCAATCCAGTACACAGTACACAACAGCATTTTTATTGTATTTTTGTTTTTGTACATGCATTTGCATTCGATTACAAATGTTCAGATGAAGTATTGCTGGATTATTATTTAAAAAGCAAAATCAAAGATTTCTGGAATCATTCCAGTTCTGAACATGTAAACATGAAATGATTGTATGTTCAAATATTTCAGGAATTAAAACACAAGTTTAGACCTGTCTAATGTGGACAAACTTTAAGTAGATCATGATCCACTTAGATTATTGGCCTCACCTATTAGACAGTCTGAGAATGTTTGCACTTTAGCCTACTTCCAGACACAGTAGCTGAGAGGCTTACTCTGGCAATAGTCTACGGTAAACTTAATAGTCTTGTGTGTGTGTGTGTGTGTGTGTGTGTGTGTGTGTGTGTGTGTGTGTGTGTGTGTGTGTGTGTGTGTGTGTGTGTGTGTGTGTGTGTGTGTCTCTCTTTGTAATTCTGAGGGCAGTGTTCCACTTGTGATGTTGACTCAGCAGCAGCAACTCCTGCTCCTGTGACCTAGAGAGAGCTAGGAAGCAGACACCAGAAAAAATGAATGAGAGCGTGGTTAAAAATTTGAAGGAAGTACAGACGTGCAGAGAGATAAAATAGAAAAACTCATCTGTATCACTACATATGTTACAGCCACTGCAGCTTTTTCTATTAGTCTAGACAAGCTATGTAATGACAGTAATTTTACAACCCCCTGACTTTACGGTATACTCTTAAAGGAAATATGCTTATTTTATTTACAGCCAGTAGAAGGTNGTGTGTGTGTGTGTGTGTGTGTGTGTGTGTCTCTCTTTGTAATTCTGAGGGCAGTGTTCCACTTGTGATGTTGACTCAGCAGCAGCAACTCCTGCTCCTGTGACCTAGAGAGAGCTAGGAAGCAGACACCAGAAAAAATGAATGAGAGCGTGGTTAAAAATTTGAAGGAAGTACAGACGTGCAGAGAGATAAAATAGAAAAACTCATCTGTATCACTACATATGTTACAGCCACTGCAGCTTTTTCTATTAGTCTAGACAAGCTATGTAATGACAGTAATTTTACAACCCCCTGACTTTACGGTATACTCTTAAAGGAAATATGCTTATTTTATTTACAGCCAGTAGAAGGTTAACTTAACTTAGCTTAACTTAACATAAAGCAGGGGGAAATGGCTAGCCATTTTCATTTTCTTTAGTTTTTCTTCAGATATAACATGTTAATTAGTGAGAGATGCTACCTGTTTCCTCCTGTTTCTGGTCTTTATGCTAAGCTAAGAAAACTGTCTCCCAGCTGTAGCTTTATATTTACCCTATGGGAATGAGTGGCATCAGGCTTCTTATCTAACTCTTAGCAAGAGTTTCTATATTTCCCTGAATGTTAAACTGTTCCTTTAAATAACCAATCATGATTGGTCAAACTCATTTTCCGTAATCCATAGATTTTCTCATGGATCATCTCAGAGCTTTGTAAAACCATTGTGTCCTGATTCCTCAGACCCCTCTGCCCTGATTGCACAATGTAACATAGTTATGTAAGACATTTATGTGTCATCATCAGCTGCAGCAATAGCAGCTTTGGCTCAGCCAGGCAGACACTGACTGGTAGTTGCAGCACTAGACTAGTATTACAGTGTTCAATCTCACAAAATTGTACAATCGTTTCTGATTACCAAATATGCTTTCTGGAGATGGATCATGTCATCTAGTCATGTTGCACTCAGACAAATGAAAAAGCTACCAAGGCAGATCTGTAGCCCCTTCCTCCTCTATCGCCCTCCAGACATGATGAATTTCTCAGGTCTGCTCCTGGCCACAGGTTACAGAGCGGAAGATGTGAAGTTGTTGTGGATGCTTAACAGCCCACCTTGTTACGGTGGAGCAGTTAGACGATGGATGATTCTCTCTTTAGACCAAACAGTAAATTGTGTTGTGTAGGAGCAGGAGGAGTTGTGTGTGTGTGTGTGTGTGTGTGTGTGTGTGTGTGTGTGTGTGTGTGTGTGTGTGTGTGTGTGTGTGTGTGTGTGTGTGTGCGTGTGCGTGTGCGTGTGCGTGTGCGTGTGCGTGTGCGTGTGCGTGTGTGTGTACCGTAAAGACAAAGAAACGGAGCTGGGTTTGGCACAAGGAGGTGGAGAGTGATGGGTTCATTCTCGCAAAGGGGTGTGTGGGCACAGTAATGGGCACAGCAGGGGCATCCATGCCAGCTTGTTGATGGGCCTTTGTGTCTGTCTGTCAGTCAGTCTGCTGCTCCACAGTCTGCCTCAACACTGCAGGATAAATCAAACCTGGAAATTGGGTCAACCACAAATAAAGCAGAGTTGCAGAGAGCAGAGGCAGGAGAAGGAAGAGAGGAGGCAGAGGAGAAAGGAAAGGAGGCGAGAGCAGGGGACATCCATTTGAATTTGGAAGGTGGTGGGGAAATGTAGGGCACGCATATTTAAGAAAGCACTGCTGGAGAGAGGGGAGTATAATAGCTGGCAGTGAGTAGAATCACTCATGCAGATCTCTTGTCTGACTGATGGGAAGGAAATGAGACACGGAAACTGGTTGACTTCAAAGGAATACTATTTTTTGATGCACATTCTTATTTACCTATGCTGTTTATTTCTATTTCACCATAAACCATCCTTCATATTACTGGGTCAGCTTTCTGCATCTGTCAGCCGCTGGGGTGTGGCAGCTTTGACTTTGATGACCATAAGAGAAAAACATAAATGAATAGAGAAAGGGCTGCCCAAAGTAGGACTTGATGTTTGGTACCAAATAACTTGCAACGTTTTAATGTTCTGTCTCTACAAAAAAAAGCTATCAAGTGACCTTTACAAAAGAGATTCGCTCTTTGTTCCCTAAATTTAGCAATTACTCCTGAATAGCTCCAAAGTGATATATGATATTAAACCTGAACTCTGGATGTTTCCAGATGTTGTTAAAAAAATAATGGCATTGACTTCTGACCTTTCACAAGGTCGTCTCATCTGCTCCCGTTCAGGCCACAAACAGTACGGATGTAGCCGCATGTTTGGCACAATGAAAACCTCCACACATTGTGAAAAATAGATTTGAAGGACAACAGCCTATGTACAGACTATGCAGGACTGGAGCTTTCATTTAGTGATGTCCCTCCTGATGTTTTGTGTTGTCAAATAAGCCTAGGTGGCTAGCAGACCTGACCAACAAATTGCATACACAGACAAAATTTATCAGTCAATTACATACTTTAAGTTAAAGCAGCAGCTTTTAGTCAATTCATCTGTTAGTCAATTAAGAGAAAGCTTCTAAAATGCTGCTTTTCTTTGTCCTAGATGATGGAATTAAATGAATATCTAATATCTATTTCATAGTGTTTTTTTGAATATGACAAGCCATCCTTGAACTGTGGGAAATTTGAATAGACATTTTTCAATATTTTCTGACATTTTACAGACAAAACAA